GAGCAGATGCTGTACTTAGTATTCACAGCCTCCTTGCCTGTCGCCTTGGGAATCCAGAAGGGAGACGCAGGCAGAGGGGACTGGAAGACGTGTGGTAGCAGTGCCCTCTGGTGGCTGTGAGGGGAGTTGACGTTGGGTAGTCCACATATTTTCCCTCAGAATTTTTCATTGTCTATTCCTCCCCAACCCCACTTCAACCCCATACTAGAATACAAACTCCATGAGGACAAGGATTTTTATTCATTTACTCATTGTTGTATATCCAGGGTCTAGAATAGCTCCTGGAACGTAGCGGGTGTTCAGTAAATATTTATTGAATGAATGAATGACACAGATTTCAAACTCTGCTCCACCATTTTATTGATGTTTGACCCTAATCAGCTCTCTTAACTTAATAAAGCCTCAATTTCCTCATGGCAAAATGGAGATGCTAACACCCACCCCTCACAAGCATTGACAGGAGGAAAGAGACCTACACATGCCAGGCAAGGGCCCTTGGTCACTGCTTGTTCCCTCATCCACCAGCCAGCACTGACGACACACCATATACTGACAGCAGCACATCACCTTCACTAAGAAACCAACTGATGGGCACGTTTGCTGAAAGGGCTTCACATTGGGTGTAGGGCAGCTTGGGGAAATAACCCCAGCCTGGTCCCGGGCTTGCCAGGCAAGGAGGAAGTGTAGCTAGATGGACAAGGGAAGGCCGGGTGAGGGGTGAGATCTCTCTTCCACCATCCACGCCCCATCTCCCCACCCACAGCCACACCCAACTCTTCTGACTGCCTTGAACCATCTGGCTCCCTCTGCCCTCCTTGCCTTTGCAGACGCCCTATCCTCTGCCTGCATTCCCTTCTCTCCAACCGTGGCTGTGCCCCATGTCCAAGCCCTCTAGAACAACTGCCTCCTGCTCTCCCTGTAGCCACTCTGGCCCTGCAAATCCATCTTCCTGCAAGCAGGCTCACTCTAAACTGAAAATATGCTTACCTCACTTTCCAGCTTGAATCTGATTGTTCTTAGGACAGAGTCCAAATCCTCTGACCTACCATTTTGTGGTCTGGACCCAGCCCATCTCCTAGCCATCTTGCCTTTCCCAATCCTGGCTTCAAATCTTACACCAGACAATCCAAGCCATTTCCTACCTCTGGGCCTTGGCCCACTCAGTCTCCTTTGCCTGGAAATCCACTCCGCTGCCCAGAGGGCTTGTGTTGCACTTGCCCACCCAGGAGCCATTTCCTCTCCCTCTGGTAATGGAATCCCCTCCCCAGCTCTCAGATCTCGGGTTCTTGTAGGGCTGACTCATTTCGTTCAAGGGTGACCTTAAGACTCAGCCTGGCACGTTCTTTTTTAACTGGACTTCATGGGTGCAATGTGCACTCTCCGATTGGCCAGGGCCCACTCCCTTCTGTCTTATTCCAGTTTCCCCCATTTCGTTTATCCTGGAGGCTCTAGAGTTTGCGGCCCCTGGTACAGACTCCTCATTTCTGCCTCTGTCAGGGTCTGATTCCCTCCTGGACCCCAGGTGTTCGCTTCCAGTTCCCAGATCACCCCAAGCCCAACTTCCCTGCCCTGATGCCCCTGGTTCTGTGGGGATTCGGTTCTTCCCCTTTGGGCATTAGGAGTTGGGGTTCACCTGAGCGTGTCCATAGTTCCCCTTGAGGAAGGACAGGAGCACCAGGCTAGAGGTGGGGACTAGAGTAGACAGGTGCAGCTCCAGGGGCACCTCTGGGCTGTGTCCTGTGGGACTCACCAAAGGCAGCCTCCAGTAGGGCCCAGCATCTCTGCCCAATGACTCTCCCGCTCTGTGTGCTCAGAGTCTGGCCACACAGGCACCTGATGCAGGTTTGGTGTGTGAAGAATGAAGGTCTTGGCCTATCCGGGGCTTTCACCTCTATTAGCTCATTGTTTCCTTAGCTACTGCCTTCCCAGGCACCTTGCTGGTGTCCAGGGTTGAAGAAGGGACAAAGAGGTAGGGTACTTCCTTCAAGGGAGACCAGGACCCCAAGACCCCCTGGGGAATGAGCCCTTATGGGCAAGAGCTGTTTCTCTCTAGTGGCAAAGGACGGAGAAGGGAGTGGGTTCTGGGAGGGGAGAGGCAGCTCCAGATGGGGCCCTGCTGGAGGAGGAGTCACCCTGGGGACCACCTTCACCTCAGGACCTCTCACGTCCCTGCTCCTTCAGGAGCGACCCTAGAAGGATTAGGATTAGAAAGAGAAGAGCCCTAGGCTTGGGTGAGGGTAGGGGCAGCCATGGAGGTGAGGGGACCTCAAGTGTGTGTGTGTGTGTGTACGTTTGGGAAGCTGGCCTTAGGCCCTCTGCCCAGATCCTGGAGTCCTGACTTGGCGAGGAAGGAAGTTTGACATTCGAACATGGAACTCCCCGACCCCATCCCTCACTCCTTCAGCTGACCTCTGCTCTGACCCCAGCTGCTCCACATCCATCATCCTCCCCCAGCAAATATCAGCCCCAGGGGACCAGACCCTAGAAGGCCTCAGCACTGAATTGGGAGGTGTCCTTCATTTGGAAGAGGATGCGTGGTGGAGTCTGTCAGAGATCCTAGAAGTGAGGAACAGACAGACTCTCGCCTCCACCAAAGAGCCAACCACAGTAGCCAGAAGTGAGAGGCCAAATTCTTAAAAACTGGTACAACATGGGCATCGACCAAGTGGAACGTTTTAGCTGAAGACGAGACCTGGTGCCACGTCTTCAAATATAAGATGCCACTGAGTGTAGCACACACACATTATTGCTCAAATTGTCAATTGAACTATGACCAGTGCTTTCTTATTGCTTACAATTTCTATTTTATACATGTTGAAAGAGTTCTTTTGGCCTATTTCTTTTTTTTTTTTTTTTTGAGACAGAGTCTCACTCTGTCACTAGAGTACAGTATCACTGCAGCCTCCAACTCTTGGGCTCAAGTGATCCAGCCTCCCAAGTAGCTGGGACTACAGGTGCTCACCACCCTACCTGGCTAATTTTTTCTATTTTTATTTTTTGATTTTTATTTTTTTTGAAACAGAGTCTGACTCTGTTGCCCAGGCTAGAATGCCGTGGCATCAGCCTAGCTCACAGCAACCTCAAACTCCTGGGCTCAAGCAATCCTCCTGCCTCAGCCTCCCGGGTAGCTGGGACTACAGGCGCTTGCTACCACGCCTGGCTAATTTTTGTTGTTGTTGTTTCTATTTTCAGTTGGCTGGCTAATTTTTTCTATTTTCCATAGAGATAGGGTCTTACTCTTACTCAGGCTGGTCTAGAACTCCTGATCTCAAGCAATCATCCCACTTCGGCCTCCCAGAGTGCTGGGATTACAGGCTTGAGCCACCGTGCCCAGCCTTGTACTCAGGCTTTTAAGAAACCCGTATTGTCCTTCATATATTGATACGTTATTCCAACAAAGATGCTTGCTCTTTCCGTTGGTTAAAAAGCACCCCGTTATCTGGGAGAATGCAGCGTGTGGGACAGCTCTTCGTTGGTGCTGCCTAAAGCTCCTGGGTCTTTTAGCTGGAGAACTGGAAGAGAGAAAACAAGTTACCCAGGGACCCCCCAAACTAGAGATACGTGTGACAGTCTCTTTGCCCCTGATAATTTTCTGGGTGTGCTGTGCTAAATTCCAGTGATCTAAAGAGCAATGTTTACCTGAAATAAGAAAGGCCACATTATCTGGGGTAAATCTGACATGTACAGAGATGGAGGGAGAGGTTCTCCACAGCCTCAAGATCAGATGTTCTTCAGCACTTCGTATTTGGTCTTACGATGCTGACCTCCTTAGGGCCTCCGAAAGCAGGTCTTAGATGTTAACTGAGTTCTGCCAAAATGATTTAGGACTCAGGAAGTCGTTGGAACAAAGTATAGAGGTGCTGAGACTTTTATGGAATTTCACCTACCCTATTGTTTTGAAGGCTGGCAATAAATTAATATACGTGTCCACAGCATAAGACCACAGTGGGATTTTTTTTTAAGGAACCAAAGTTGAATTGTCTTCAGATACAGTTTGGTTTATTAAGAATGTCTTGCTGTTTCTTAATGTTTTCGCCCTTCATAGTCTTGGCACACTAAAACTCATGCCCACTGAGACAGCCCACTGACTCTATCAACCTGGTTTGACCTCTTGCCGTCCCTGACCCTTTAGACCGAGTGCCAGCTCTGGGCTCCCATGGCACCAGTTGGTGGGTGGACGGATGGGTAGAGAGGAGCACGGGGGGCTGGGCAGGATGGATGCGTGGGCAGGAGGGCAGCTGGAAGGGGGAGGTGGGAGGATGAGAAGGTG